TCCCGTCCTCTTTTTTGCTTGTTGAAATATGGTAACCCTATTGAAACCTCATAAGGTTTGAAACCTGTCATTCCCTCTGTCATACCCCAGAGTGGTAATCCGCTTCCTTTGGGGTCCCTATCTGTCTTCCCTTAATTTTTCATTACGGTTGGGTAAGCAACTGTTAGGTGCCATGGATTGCGTATTCAGTCTTCAGGGGTGGACAAAGCAGACTAATAAACATTCGTTGGAGTACGCGATTGAGTTATTTGGAAAGAATAAGAACCCATGGGGAATGGGAATGGGGTCGTTTGCAGGCACAGACTCCTTGGAAAAATTCTCTACCTTGTCGGCGCGGTATTCCATCAGTAAACCAGCCCCGAACAAGAAGGCCCGTAAGTGTGCCTTGATCTATGGCTTGGCCATGGTCAGCCAAGTGTTAAATGTTCAAGTGCAGCTGCTGAAAAAGCAGGCTAATACCGCACTTAAATTATAGCAGCAGCTTGAAGCAAGCACCAGAACGCAAGCTGCTGAGAAGTACGCAGCAGAAGCTGCAGTTACCAACTTAAAGCTGCAGGCCTCCCAACTAGAACAACAGCTAAGGAGCCTGCATGCAAAGACTGCTGCTGCTGAAACAGCAGCCGAGGTGAAAGCCAAGGAGCTGCAAGAGTCACAAACAGCCGTTCGGCAGCTACTAAAGGAGGCCCAGGAGGTTATAGATTCATAGATTATAGGACTGGAAGGGACCTCGAGAGGTCATCGAGTCCAGTCCCCTGCCCGCATGGCAGGACCAAATACTGTCTAGACCATCCCTGATAGACATTTATCTAACCTACTCTTAAATATCTCCAGAGACGGAGATTCCACAACCTCCCTAGGCAATTTGTTCCAGTGTTTAACCACCCTGACAGTTAGGAACTTTTTCCTAATGTCCAACCTAGACCTCCCTTGCTGCAGTTTAAACCCATTGTTTCTGGTTCTATCCTTAGAGGCTAAGGTGAACAAGAAGGGCCTATTAATCATTCGGCATGTCAATGCCAAATTGAGCAGCTGCAAGGGCAATTGCAATTGTCTGGTTAATGCTATTGAGTCAAACCCACTGGCAGCTTTTACCAGTACCACCTCTGATGGGTCAGAACTCAACTGTAACCCACCACCAGAAAAGGAGGAGGGAAGAAGCCTTCAGCCCCCTATGAACAAGGAGAAAGTGACTCTCTACCTTATGCTCCTTTAGCCCCTATTATAACTACAGTCACCAGGTATGATGGACAAGGGCCCCCAGTGATTAAACATGAGAGCAAAGCCTTAACCCCAACAGATAAGAGCCGTGGGCAAGCAGATGGGCCCATGTAATAAATACACTGTTCTAAATTGGCCAGCTAAAATATCCATCACTCCTAATTTAACCCAGGAAGATATGGTATCCCTGCTAAGGGAATGCATGCCCATTGATGATTTTAGCTTGTTGCCATATCATGCTATTACTGATGTACAAGATAATCCAGCTAATTTGTATTTGTCTGTGTTAAAAGTGTATTATCCTTATGAGAATGTTATTGGTAAAGCATTTTCCGAAAGACAGGCCCGGATGAATGGCCTGAAAGGTATTTCTTAAGAAAGAAATTATTGTATTGGTTATCTGGTTTAGGAAACAACGTAGATGGTGTGATAAACTATGATACACCTGAACTACGGGATATGTATATTCAGGGTCTAGCGTCTTCCCAAAGATGAGGCAGGATCAGCTCTGCTTACACATGGAGAAACTGAGACGAAGGTGAAGTGACTTGCCTAGATTAGGAAGAGAACTCAGGAGTTGGGGCTCCTTGTCCCCCCTTCTCTGTCCCACTAGATCAAGAGCTGGGGATGGAACCCAGGAGTCCTGAATTTCCCCCCTGGCATTCAGCACTGCTCACCACAGCTGAGAAATGGCTACTGCCTTCCCTGATGCTGCCGTGCTCCCCATGGAGCCCCCTGCATCACGCCAGGTTCTTCTCCTTGGCGTCTCCACAAGGCTGGCAGGGTCCTTCCCGTGGCAAACAAGCTCTTGGCAGCCGCATCATAATGTGAACCCGGGAGGCATCTACCATTTGGCCATGTCCTTCTGCCCGGAGCAGTTTACCCCGCTGTATGCCTTGTGCTGGTTGCAGGCCTTAGCCTGTAGGGAAAGGTGGAGGAGATCACTGGAGTGGCACCCGGAGCAGAAAATCACAAAAAGGGTTAAGGGAAAACGGGGCTTTTGCAGACCTGAGGAGTAAAATAGGTACGTAGCAGAGGTGCATTAAGTCTTGTTGATGGATAGGGAGCAGGGCCGGCTTCAGGCACCAGCCCACCAAGCATGTGCTTGGGGCGGCGCTCTGGCCGCCGGGGATAGCGGGGCCCCGGCCGGGCTCGGCGCCCTCCCCTGCTGCGCTCCCCACCCGGGGGACGGCGGGAGGCTTTTTTGCCTGGGGCGGCAAAAAAGCCAGAGCCGGCCCTGATAGGGAGATAAAATTAATGATCTTAAAATGACTAAGAGCTGCTGAGCTGCTTTTTCCTTAATGGTGTCGAAGAAGAAATGAGGGGATAAAAATGTATGGACAATAAGGAAGTGCGTTATCTGGCTCCGGTTATTATAGTATCCGAGCACCTCACAACTGGTAATATATTTATTCTCCAACCCTCCTGGTGAGGCAAGGAAGTGCTATCATCCCCCGCTGTAGCATGGGAAAATTGAGGCACAGACTAAGTGACTGCCCGAGGTTAGTCTGGGGCAGAGGAGGGAATTGAGCCAGGATCTCCCAAGTCCCAGGCTAATGCTCTAACCATTGCACCAGCATCCCTCTATGATGCGAAATATCTGGTTAAATAAAACATGAGGGGTAGGTGGATGCTGCCGTCTCTCTGACAGCAATGGCCCGTCCATCGGTAGGACAAACACAAACAAACCATCTGGAGGGGAGGGGAAAGGATTTTTTGACGCCACATGCTGCCCCTGCCCCAAACTGCAGCCCGTGAGGTTTGTGTGGCTTCGAAGTGGTGACTGCTTGCCCCCTCATATCGCTCTGATTTTCCTGAGCTTTAAATCTGTCCCCCTCCCAGCCCTGTGCAGGGGCAGATCCCCTGGCCTCGGCCCTCCAGCCCTCATGGGGCCAAGCCCTTACCCCCACCCCCCATTGGCTCCCCTGGCCTGCCCACGCCCGTCTATGGAATCCCAGAGGGCTCAGATCCTGGGTGGCCCCCACCCTGGCTTAGAGCGAGTGCCTGTCTCGCCCCCTGCAGTGCTAGGCACAGGGCCCAGGTGGATTGGCCCTTCTGAGGAGCTGTAGGCCGAGCGCAGAGGAGGCCATAGGCTGGGCCAGCAAGATGGAGGCCGGAGGTGAGCCAGGGTGGAGGCGAAGGTCCTGGCGGGATGGGGAATGGGACACATATGAGGACTCCGGGCCTATCCCCTCTAGGGGGTGCTGGTTATTCCCCCGCCCGGGCCCTGTTCTGCCCTATAAGATATGGGTCACTTCCCTCACTCATACCCTGTGGTGGCAGGGCAGGGTCTGTTTTTATATGCCTGTGCTGTGCTGTGTTTATAGTGGAGAAGGCTGGTCAGAGAAGGGCACATAGCACTAGGAGC